AGAATAACAGCATTTGAGCTGAAATTTCAATTAAATTTAATGAAAATTAACGAAAAATAAATGTGACAGTTTCGCCTGCAACATTATTGTTATTGCATTTAACGAAAAAAAAAAAGAATTAAAAAAACGGTTAAATGGAAGAGAATGTAGCCAGAGGCATTTAAATGATCATTGTAATAAAAGAACATCCGATTCCATTTTCAGCAATTTATTACCTTTCCAACATCAATCCCTTCTAGACACACACATGCACATACATACACATACATACACGAACACATAGACACATACAGAAAGTGACAGACATAGACATACACACCTATTCTATTTACTGTCATAAACTATCACGAATATTTAATTACGGTGGACAGGTAATGATTGTCATTTGTCGTCAAATTGTTGGTTGTAATTTTAGGTATCAGCAGAAAATTCAACAATAAAGAAAGCAAAATACAAATGATGAATAGATTTGTATAACTTACTACTACCAATAACATATCATATAATTGTTGCGTTAATTTAGTTTTCCATAAAGACGTAACCGTAATTTACGTTTCTGTAAGAAGTAACCGTAATCTGGTTTCGATGAATGATAGCTCTAAATTGATTCGTAAGTATGGTGTACTGTAATTTGATAATAACTCTGTAATGATATTCCTGCAAGTTGATCTTTTTTTTTTCGAAAAATTTATTTATAGTTATCATTTCATTTTACTCAATTACAACTCTGATTAATTCAGGTTTTCTTTTTTTTTTTTTTGATTCTAATTTTTTTTCCTGAACATAACTATATCATCTGGTATTTTTTAGATGACGCACAATGATATCGTAAGGATTATCTGTATTTTTTGGTTGATGTGACGTAATCGTCATCTTTAGGATGAATTATTTTAAGATCCGGAAGGATTATCCGTTATTTAGCTAAATTTTAGCTGTGTTAAAATAGTCATTCATCCGAATAAACTAACATCGCCGGAAAAATGATTTAAAACTTCCCGTACTGTTAGCTAATGAGTAACAGAAAATGATATCGCATCCAGTTATCCGGCAAAATGATATACCATCCGGCATACATGTTATCCGTGTAAATTTCTCACTTCCATATCAAAACAAAAAAAAAGCATATTTGGTAAAAATTTTAGAAATTATGAGATCATTACAATTTATCAATTGATAACTTCCATTACTTTTTCTTTTTCCTACAATGTTACACTTCTCACGGTTACCTTTGTAAACCATTTTACCTGATCATAATTATTGCATTGTATAACTTATATTGTCAAACTAGTTAATTAATTCAATTCATTTAAGATTAAATAAGTAAATCTATATTGGCATAAATTTTCTCGCATAGTTTAATATTTCTGGCAAATATACCAATTGGTTATTTTTTCAAAATATTTTGGTCAAATATCAATGATATGAACTTGATAACAACATATCGATTCATATCATCGGTATATAATTTGAAATTATTTACATATTTAGCAAATTATTAGATTAACAAAATATTGTGGCAATAAATGAAGAATAATTTTAAAAAAAAAAAATAAAGGATATAAAACGAAATTATTGTTTAGTCAATAAAAATAAAAATTAATATTAATTAATTTTCTTTCCGCATAGTTTAATTAGAATTTAAATCACACTTAATTCATTTTTCATTCCATTCTTCTTCTTTTTCTTAAATCTTTTCTTTTTCTTTTAAAATTATTTTTCTTTTATATATTTTAATCAGAACTTAAATTACATCCTTAATTCATTTTCCATTTCATTCTTCTTCTTCTTCTGAAATCTTTTCTTTTTTTTTTAAATTATTTTTCTTTTATATATTTTAATCAGAACTTGAAGTTTTTTTTTTTTCATTCATTCTTTCATTCCTTTCTTCCTTCTTCGTCTTTGCTTTTTTTTTTGGAATAAAAATGAAATGTTACTGACTACCCACCTGTCACTTTTGGTTGAGACAGATTTCCTAGAAAAAAAAATTGTTTTTTAAAATATTGAAATTTTTCTTAAAAAATTTGAATTTTGTAAAAACGTTTGAATGAAATTTTATAGTTGCATGATGATAATGCTTAGAATAAATGCAAATTTGAAAAAGAGAAAGAAATTGAAATTTCAAATTTTTTCAAATCTTTTTTTAATTTTCTAACTTAATTGGATTCTATTGTTGCTTCAAATTTGTTTTATTGTTTTTATCTGGATTTTTAAAAAAGGAAAATTGGAATAGTTTCATCGAAATTTCATTTATCCAAAAAAAAAATTTTTGTTTTTTTTCAAAAAAAAGAAAAAAAAAGGAAGAAAAATTCATTGACTAAAGAAATTTTTATTTTTTATTTTTATCAAATTTCATGATTGAAGAAATTTTTTTCTTTTTTCAAAAGAAAGAAAAAAAATCCTTCATCCTTAATTATTTAATAATACTAATCCAATTTTGAATTTCTTTTATTATCAGTTAGATTGTTGACAAATTTAAATTTCTAAATAATTCGAACAAATTGATATGATCAAATATTTAGACATTCTATTGTATAAAAAATAAGCTAAAATTCGAAATGTAAACAGTTCATTTGATATGTGTTACATTTATTTGATAAATTAGCATCATTTACTGAATATAAATATTGATTGATTCAGGGAATGATTATGTTTCATATATTTTGTAAATGTGTTACATAGTAGTATAGTGGGATATTCATTTGTTTCTTACACATACATATAAATGGATGAAAATTTAAATTCACAGTAAAATAAAATGTGAAAAAGAATGGACGAAGAGAAGCGGGGGGAGGAGAGGGGGTTGCAATGTGGGGGTGGGAGGAGGAGTAATGTGGGATGAAGAGGAGTGGTGGAAAAGAGACAAATGCGTGGGCGGGAGAAAGAAGAGGGAGGGGAAAATGAGAAGTTAGTTTGATTTTAAATCTATTGAAGAGCATGATGATTCGGTAACGCCCAAATGCAATGGGAGCAGTAGCAGTAGTAGTAGTAGTAGTTGGTTGAAGTAGTAATAGCAATAGGTGATGGTAGCTGTAGCAGTAGATTTATTCTCGACAACTTTATCGTTATTAAAAGAAGAGGTAAAAAAAAATAAAAATAAAAATAAATTTAAAAAAAAAAGAACGAAGAGAAACAGGATAAAATAGAATTGAAAGCTAGAGTTAATGAAATGGGAGTGATGAGAAAATTCAATTAATTTTGTGGGTTTTATTCCATCTGCTTGTATTAATTATTATAATAAGCACATTATTTGATAAATAACCAATGTAAGTTAAATAATAATCAATAATATATTATTTATTTATAGGTGAATTATACAATGCTAATATGCTGGTATCTATTCCATTTATGCATTATTTTATCTGCAATATTATTCTAATATGTATTTATCATCAATCAACAACAGTATACGGTATGAATATGATATTAAATGATAGCACAATGATAGTGCAAAAACGTTTCCCGCAAGCAATTATTATTGGTGTTAAAAAAGCAGGTACACGAGCACTTTTAGAATTCCTTCGTCTTAATCCAGCAATTAAAGCACCTGGACCAGAAGTACATTTTTTGATAAAAATTTCGACAAAGGCTTCGATTGGTATCGGTTTGTTTTTGTTTTTTTCAAATTTTAATTTCTTTTTTATTTTGTATTTCGTGTCCCAATAATCCAATAGTAGTATCAAAATTATCTTAATTAGTTAAGATAGGTTATATTATTAAATGGTAGACTACAAATGACAGGAAAGCGAAAATTTCTTTTCTTCAAAAATGATTCATAATAATAATAATAATAATAATAATAATAATAATAATAATAATAATAATAATAATAATAATAATAATAATAATAATAATAATAATAATAATAATAATAATAATAATAATAATAATAATAATAATAATAATAATAATAATAATAATAATAATAATAATAATAATAATAATAATAATAATAATAATAATAATAATAATAATAATAATAATAATAATAATAATAATAATAATAATAATAATAATAATAATAATAATAATAATAATAATAATAATAATAATAATAATAATAATAATAATAATAATAATAATAATAAT